CGGGGCTGTTTGAGACAATTGAAAATGAACTCAAAACACCCATAATAAGGATCATTCGTCTGGATGAAGGGAACAAACTCCAGGGTAAGACTCTTGACTCTCTTCGGTAGTTTGTTCATTTTCAAACAACCGAACTAGAGCGACCGCAAGCCCTGATTCTCTGGAACTGTTTTGGGCATGGGACCATGCCTGCAGTCGGTCAAATAAATGACTTCCATAGAATTTCTGAACCCCTAAACAAATCTGGGTGATTTTTGGATATGTTGGTCACCCAGATCAGGGCTATCAGTGGATACAATGTGTTTTGGGGTACTTTTGGGACTTCATAGAAATGTGTGTTTTTTGGGATTGTATGTTTATTGTATGTTATTGTATGTTATAGGAGTGTCGTGCATTAAATGACTGTTCTTATTGGTCTGTGTCTTTGTGTTGGAGTCCCCAACAAGGTCTATGTGGGCGTGCCCCTTGCATTGTGATTGTCATAAAAGGCCAGTGTGGCACCATTAAAATTCAGTCTTACTTCACCCTCAACAAAGAGTCTTGTCTCTTGTTGTAGGGAACTGCTATACCGGCCATACCAGCTATAATCCCTGCTCCTGGGATTGCTCTTTGAATTACTATACTGGCTATAGTCACTAGCTCTTATAAGATATACACAGCCAGACCTGCTATACTCTCTGGAAGAGGAGAGGTCAACCCACTGGAAGGGTGGGTGGGTGGAGGAAAGCGAGACCCCAGCCAAGCTGCGTCAGCTAAAGGGCTACGGTACTTATGGTGTCCGGTGCAGTGCCTAGGAAGCAGCAATTGGCGGAGGCATCCGGTCGGGGTGCCAGGTGGTCCGTCACAACACTCAACGACCAAACACCGCTGGACGCGTTCGACAAAACAAGATGGCTGCTGTAGCGGATGGCACTGGGCTGTCTTGGGAATTGTATTGGTTTTGACTGCATTCGTGTAAATGGCAAAGTTATATGTGTTAAATGTATTGTGTTCGTCTGATTGTTCGGTAGTTTCATTCCCTTAGTTTGTTCGATTGAAACTACCCGACAGTCAGACCTCCCCTGTGTGAAGTGTGCCTTCAATTACCGTTGCAACATTGTTGCGAACGGGTAATTGACAAGCTAAGTAGCAGTCCTTTTTTCTTGGGGGTGGCCGCCATTCGGGAAACGAAAACTCCTGAACAGCGGTGTTTTGCCGTCGAGTGTCTGGAACTCAAATCGGACACTCGACTAAGCGAACACCGCTGAGACCTCCACAAGCCCGGTCCGTTCGGTTCCAAACTACCGAATGGCACCTCGTTTGGTAGATAGAAACAACCGACCGAGGGGATTCAGGCGAACCCTCCCCAGTCTCCTTAACTAGAGGCTTTCGTATGATTCATTCCCTTTTTCCAGGACCGACCGCAGGGCCCCATCGCATGAAGCCCAATTTGGCTATTCCTTCCAGCACAGCGGTCGGTCATTTTATTCCCTCCATGAATTTCCCGAACCCCTGGTCTGATCTGGGTGATTTTTGGATATGTTGTTCACCCAGATCAGGGCTACCAGGGGATGTATAATTTAAAGTGGTACCCCTAGGTTTAGGGGTACATCCAGAAAGGGGGGGAATTGGTATCCTGGATAAGGGGATTATGATGCAGTCTGAGGGGAGGGGATGTCTGGGAGGTTACCGGAACAGGATTGGATACTTGCATGGGAGCATGCTTTATAAGGCCACTGTGAAAAAAAGGTTTTCAGTTCTGCTCCTGATGCTGTGTGTCGTCCAGTTATTGGGATTGCTATTGGGATACTGTTGGATTATTTTACCTGCTGGAAACCTTGCTTTGTGGATTTATAATTACTTGTTCCTGAGCCTCACTGGGATCTTAAGCGGAGATAATCTGTGGAATATTGTATCTCCGCTACAGCTGCCGCCAGGTGTTCGTGCATACGAATCGATGGCCACCCAGTGAACCACTTAGAACGTTCAGAGTTGCGGCTAGGGCAATTGTCAATAAGGTCAATTGGTGGCACACGACTGCTTTGGGTGGCCCAAGGGTTTGGTAGAACATTCGGTATATGAACCAGCTGGGACAAAATCTGTTCGGTTGAGTTTGTATACCGATCTAGGTGAAATTAATAAAAATAATGTCCAGGAACAGGGAAAATATCCAACTGTGCTAGATTGGTCTGACGACTTACATTGGGCTGCCCCAAGGGCACTGTGGACACCGTAACCACTATACTACAATGTTCCTTTAAGTTTACAATAAGGCCCACAGTCTCCCTCCCAGTTATTCAAACATTGTGCTCTGCACTGTTTTTTCCTCAATAAATTAACTGTCTCATTCCCTCACTAATACTTGTCTAGTGTTTGGGAGCGAGGTTGGAAGAGATATTTATCCTTCCAGTATGTTTGGGAACGATATTGGGAGAAATATTTATCCTCCCAGGATGTTTCAGAGCGAGGTTGGAAGAGATATTTATCTTCCCAGGATATTTGGGAGCGAGATTGGGAGAAATATTTATCCTTCGTCCAGTGCTTGGCTGTTGACTGTGAAGAAGAGACGGACCGGGTCCAGACCAGTTCGGGTCTGGATCCAAAGCTGGGAACCCTTATCTTGCCATATCATAAATAACGTGGAAGCGTTAATTTCTATTTTTTTCTAAGGTGTCTTAAAGCTATTACCCAACTTAATGGCACTCATTTAGTTGGCCTTGGATGAATGAAAACCTGAGTTGACCTTGTCTTTTGTAGTTCTGCTCTTGTACATCTTTTTATCAAGCTTTTCAACCCACATAAAAATACATAATTTTGTTATATTTTGGAAAACACTGTCGAAACCTTGAGTCTTTAATCCGAAGCAGGAGAACCGACCTATAAGCAGGTAAATCAAAACCACCTACATAATGCAGAGGCAGATTGTTGGATTTGGGGAAATGTTTAGTTACAGAGAAACCAAGCTGATTTAATTTGTCTTGGATTGACATGGAGAACAACCTATTACATACCTATTACATAAATATTTGTTTTCTTTGATTTAGCTCCCAATAACACACATGCACACGTCATAGTTGCATGTGCGAAGACAAGCGTCTACAGAGATGCGTCATCAATTCCAAAGAGAGGTTAGGTGTGAGGACAGCGACACAATCAGAGGTCTATGAGATACAAAGTCACTGTGTTTTTCCACAATATGCAGTAATTATATGGAAGATCCAAAACCTGTAATTGTACGGAGTTGTTTGAACTCATTCCCCAGAGAAAAACTAGGACATGTCACTGAGAACTTATTTCGGATAAAGCTTTGTAGTTTTCTGACTTTACCCATCTCATCCTGCCTGACACAGCGCGTATTGAGATGAAGAACGTCAGTATTGCCACACGATAATAACATATTGATCAGAATAAGAACATAAACCAAGCAAGTTATACAATGGAGGGAATGGAAACAATGAGTTGGGATCAGAGGACGACGATGGAGTAGTGAGAGATAATGAGAACGACTGGAGATGTACTTGAGAGACTAAATGTTTGATTGTTTCTCGTACTTAACCATTGCGTTTCTCAAATCTTCCATCCATAGAGCTGTATAGTTAATAATGTACTGTCATGTCATTGAGATAGTACCCTTCCAATTTACGTATGAAGTGTACATTTATAAACCATGCTTTACAGGGTCAGACTAAGCACCGTAATCACTTTGTAATAGAGCATGGTGCTTAGAGCACTCTGAGCCCAGACTTATTTCTCATTGACTAATAGCTGCAGGGATTGGTAAACATCTACCTGGGCTGTTTGTTTGGCCCCGTAATGTCCATTTTGCCTCATATCAATTGTGCCTATATAGTGCATGAGTGAAGCAAGGTGCATTTCAATATTATTCCCAATTCCAAGAAACATCTTCATTCGACTTTTTACCATCAGGGCAGCTATTACGTGTCACATGTATTGGAATCTTTACTAGACAGCTATTCATACTTTTAGCCAATCTGACTCATTAGTTTTAATTCATAGACATTAATATACTACCAAAAAGGCAATCTACAACACAAAAATAATAGAGACGGACATAGAGCAGTAACGTAGTACAATAGGAATTATAGAGGTAAATGATTACACTCACAATCACAAGGCATGTCAATAACATCCCTCAGGCTCCGAAAATTATCTTCAGAAAAGGGACTAATTTGGAGCAGATCCTTGCACCCAGTACTTTTAGATCAGAAAAGGATCTGACTAGATGTATGGGAGGTTTTTATACCTGTGGGAACTGTAAGAGTTGTGGTCATCAATTTAATGTTATAAAAGATTTTGTTAGTACACAAACTCAAGTAAAATTTAAGATTAAGAGTAAGGTATCCTGTTCCTCCTCTTACGTGGTGTATCTCCTCACTTGTGGATGTGGGATGCAGTATGTTGGGAGAACTGGAAGGAAAGAGAAAGTTAGGTTCCAAGAGAACAGAAATATTATCACATTCAGTACCTGTGCACTGCAATAATTGCCCCCCTATTTAATTTTGACACATTTAAATGTGTAGCTATAGTACAGGTAATTTTGAATGAGAGAGGGGGT